GATGAGTAGTTGTGTACCACTCACATGAGAAGCACTAATACTTGCCAACCATATCCAGGTGATCTGAACAGTGGACGTCAGTTTCTCTCTTTTGGGATCGAGCTTATCAGCTGTTTACCCGGTTTAACTCAGCTCAGAAAACCGAGTCAGTTCAAGTCATCCGGTTTCTGGCTAGCTATTTAGGCGAACTGATAACAACTTAAGTCGAATTCACAATTCGTTGTTTGGATCACTTCATTGCAGTTAGCAAGAACTACTGGTTGATGTGACTGGTATAGAAATGTTCATCTCAATCAATTAGTAGTATATCATTGTATACGAATATCTCGTAAGTGTTCGCGTCATTTTATATGGAAAATTAATGCATGTGAAGTTTGGGAAGAAAGTTACTGCATCATTGCCGTGCTATTTAAATGATAAATTGTGGAAGTTATAATTATAGTATAAACAAAGACAATACTCGCAGTTGTCCTGTATACCTGATAGAAAAATTCTTATACTATATCCGAATAGAGGATAAAGGCGAAGGAAGAGGAAACAGTTGGACACAAATCTAGTTTAAAAAAGACTGTCTGTCATATCCAGTGATTGAAGGCGTAAAAATCTTGAGTATTGCCACATCACCTTATTTAGAATAATGAAAGCTGTAGCTTTATATCAACACGATGGCTCCGCTTCATAACTGCTTGGTTCAGCTTTCAGTATGCCTTTTCACCTAATCACTTCGCCCCACTCAATACTCAAGTTGTTGGCAGTAGTGTGAAGTATCGTATTGTATACACTTCCCATCTCTTGTTGCATATAAATGACTAAAGTTTGTATGTACTTATATTGTAACCTCATTATTTTTTCATACAATTGAATGCTTGTAGACTACTTATTGTCTCCTATTCCCTAAATCTCATACTGACGAAATTCTAGTTCTGAATACGCCTATTGTTGCAATGGAAATTCACACCGCCCCATCCTTAGTATGCATATGGAGTGCTATCCTTTTTTTTCTAAAAACTAAAACTGTTAACTTGGCTGACTCATACATATCCTTTTATTTTTGTTGTTAAATCAACAGTAACACTTGAGGATATTCTCATGTTGTTGTTGTGTTACACCACCATTGTACACGAAAGCATAAATTTCATCAGTTTCCTTTTGGAACCGAAACTATTTAAATCGCAATATATGATTTGTTAGATACCACAAACGGTATTCATTGATATAAGTAAAAAACTTGGGCACTGTGGTAGAGTATAACTCCATTATAAATAAGATTTTATTTTGATACATCACAAAGTGTTGTGCAGTAATATTAACTGATGACGTTTCGAGCACAAACTATTGCTCATATGATTATAAGCAATAGTTTGTGCTCGAAACGTCATCAGTTAATATTACTGTACAACACTATGTGATTTATCAAAATAAAATCATATCCATAATGGAGAAACGGTAGTCAATGACAATCAATTAGCATACCTTAATGCTTGTTTTCTTGATTGCCATTTATGATGTTAAACAGATCTGAACAGTTCTGGTTTTCCAAAAGAAACTGTAAATTTCAAATTGTGAATCTGATTTATCGTATTACCAGTTAGTTCACTCAAGTAGCTAAACAGAAATCGGGTAGATTGGACTGATTCAGCACTGTGAGCTGAGTCGAAACCCGTTTCACTGCCAATGATTTCTACCCAAAACAAACGAAACAGCCATCTGATGTTTAGCTCACTTAGATGTGGCTAGCGTGCACTACTGTTCTATGTGAATGGTATCCAACTACTCATTCGTGTCTAATTAGTGAATCAGTATTATATATACCATCGTGTTTTGAATACGCTTTTCTGCGCGTCATTGTGTGTATACCTTCGAAGTTCATTCAGTATATTATAGAAAGCAAAATTTTGTTTTGTAGAAATTTTGATCAATTTCAGTGTAAATTTCGTCACTGATAAATGTCAATTAAGAAATTATATATTAATCCATAGAGTTTTGGGGAGATAGAAAGTGCCAAACTAGGATAAAGCAGATGTGTCCAGTGCTCCATAGTTCTCAGTGACTTTCCTACTGAATTCCATAGCTTTAAGATTGTACTGTTAGAATCTTGAATTTGTTTTATTATTTCCATTGTCATAGGCCAGGTTGAATGTAAAATGAAATTGTATTGCGACCTTACTTTATTCAGCATGCTTGTTGTGTGATCACTTTATCAGATGTTAATATTCCCTCACCCTCTGTTTACTTGGGGGGTTTTGTTACTATTATTATATGCAAGCAATCTCACCACTGACTGTTTACTTAATACTTTTATTGCGCAAGACTGTACACTTCTTGAAAGTAAATGCCAGCAGTTATTGACGCTTGTTCACTTATAGCTAGCTATAAAAAAATCAATGTTCATTATAATATAAATAGTTAAAAACTTCGTTTCACCTTCTTTTTGGTCCATTTTATGTTTGTGGTAAATATCAGACGATTTTATTGTCTTTGTATTTGAGTGAATTCAGAAAAAAGTGTTAATCTCTTTCCCAGTTTCTTGCATAACTTCGTATTATTGGATTACTGATAGATGAATCACTTTCTCGCTAGTCTGTTAATCATTTTAACTTGTTTTGAGGTCAGTTATCCTTGCACTATCGCACATATTATTTCCAGACAGACATATGATTGATTTAGTTTAGCATCAAGTCATCAAAATAGTACTATAGTGTGTTAGTAGATCAACTTGAATATATAATAATAATAATATTTATATATATATATATATATATATATAAAACCAATGAGCTATATTTTCGTACTTGTTTATTTAGTGGCATCCTTCTTGCATATTACTTCAATGGATTGTATTTTTTAAAATATAGAATACAGTTTATTGAGCTAATGTAAATGCTGAAAATATCGGAGTACATTGTAGTAGTTGTTTTCTTTTTGAATTAGTTGTGTTCTCTGAACTTGTTGGTTTAATTGTGGAGCTTTCGTCGTCCTTCTAGACATCTTCAGCGCAGCTTTTAGTATGGAATAAACTTATTTGAATTATCCATAAGTGATGTAATTGTATCTCTTGACAAATATCTTCGTGAGTGGTAGTCGATTTACATCTGTATTGATCACTTTCATTGACTTGAAATTTGAACTTTCTTGTCATGTAACTTACTTTTTATTATTTGGTAAAATTGGTCTGTATTAATGTGTTTGTTAATCGCTGGCTGATTCACTTGAGTACCAGGCTTCTGGAAATTCCCTGCCATTTTTGGTGCTTCCTGTATTTAAAATTTCTACATTATCCCAATCAAATTGGTGCCCATAATTATCCACATATGAAAGAATATATATCATGTCCTTTTACAGCTAATTTGTGTTCTTGGATTCGGATTCGAAGGGGACGCCCACTCTGACCGATATACTGTTTATTGTGGTTCATACAATTTATTTTGTAAATGGTATATATTTTGTCTCATTATTCTGTCGAATCTTTCGGTTTGTACAATATCGAATGGAGTGATTGGGCTGGCTTGTGTGCTATATCTATTTCAAACGGTCAATAATCTAGCTGTTATTTCAGAAATATTTATTTTATATATGGTAGGATGAATTTTCTTGTAGTCTTTGATGATGGTTTCTTGTTGGTGTTATGATTCGAGTTTAAACACCTTGATGAAATTGTGAGGATATCCATTCTTTTTGAAGATGTTACTAGGTTCTTTTCCTCCATTCTCTTTAATACAGGAGTTCTACATTATGTTTGAACTCTTTTATTAAAAAATGTCTGTATAGTTTCTTTTGTGAGTAATTGGGTTATTGCTACTATAATAGTAATTCAAATGAGTTCATTTTATGCTAAAACCTGCACTGAAGACGTTGTCCAGAAGGATGACGAAAGCTTCGCAACCAGTTTAGAGAAAACAACTAATTCAAAATCATCCATTGGAGTTACAAATCTTCTCTGTTAGTTGTTTTCTTGCCTAACTGTGTCTTTTCATAATTTTTCTAATGTTTCACTACAGCACTTTTTGAGATATGCTGCATTTTGATCATATAAAACATGAACTAACTAACATCTGTATTTAAGTTAAGAACTGGAATGTTTATAGATAGATGACGTTATTTTTCATCCCTCAACTGACTTGTAAAATACATGAACTGGTCACTATATATGTTAGCCTGTCTACCCTTGTTATAATCTAGATGTTAGTCGAGGTTTATCAGTGTTATTAGTAAACTGCACATGATGCAGTCATTATGTGTTAGATTGTTAGGAAGCCTTGTTTGACATATGTTTTGCTCTTGTGGACACTTGTCGTTAAGGTTTATCTGTTATATTAAGGGAATTTATATTGTGTCTAAAATTGTTTAACCTGAAGCATTCAGTGACAAAAAGTCGGAGACTTCATCGTTGATGACTGGCTAGAAGACGAAGTTACCTAAAGTTCTTAGGGGACCAGCGATATAGTCCAGCAAGTTGGGCGTGATTACAGATACTCACCAATGAAATTGTTTGGCGATCGTACTATGCATCGTGAATTGACCGACGTTGTAATTGATTGACTGGCCATTGGATACTGTTCCAGTGACTGAATGGTGTATCAGTTGACCTTGTAACTTGAAGGTTCTTGTTCCAAACCCTTGTGGTGGGGTGGGGTGTGCGTACTGATGAAGAGTTCCAAACAAGGACGAAACGACCGCCCATTACTCCCTGCTGGTTTTCAGTGGATCTATTACTCAAATCAATCCGTGTTCAAACATGAAAACTATTTAATTCGCCACTCATAAAGTAGTTCTTATCCTACTATACGGTTAGCTATAGTGATGGCTAGTGTCTTCCTCTTATTGTCATGATGTGGTATAGCTGTTTTTCGTACCGTGTAGCGCTCTCATTCACTGTGTAATTAGCCTAATACAGATTATATGCATATATGTATGTATCTCGAGACTTCAGATATATTTTGGTGTTTAATCTGTTTTCGTTGTGTTTCCTTTTTTCTTTGCTAAACAAAACTTCAATATAGCATCGATTAGCCAGGTGTTTAGTGCCAGCACCACTAGCTGAGGATTTAGTGAATGATTTTGTCAATGGGCACTTGAGCTGGAGTTCGCCGCTTGTTATCTATCTACGAAATGTGACGTGAGTTTGGTTCTTGAGTTTATTCTATTCTATCTTCTTGTCAACTGTGTTATACAGTTATTTTATTACTATTAATCACTCTACTTGAAGTGTCATCAGAAGCATTTTCGACGGCCTATCGCAGACTTTTATCAACAACTGCTTTTGTTCCATACTGAAGATCAGTTGGTTTGTCACAAGGAATAAGCAACAGAGAGCTTTGACAGACAGCCAGCCAACAGGCAAGAACCTATTACTTCACAAAAATGCAGAAGGAAATGAAGATTGTCTGGCCACACGCCAAGGAGACTGTTCAGCAACGTCAAGCAACATGCCGTCGCTCGAGTGGAATCCGAGTCTAGCGTCGATCCGAAGGTGACATGGAGGAGATAGTGTGAGGAGGAGATGAAAACCTATGAGCAACCGTGGAACCAGCCAAAAAGGACTTCACAGGAATCAGTAAAATGGAGCAGTTCTCTCGAAGCCCTATAGTTCCACTCGGAACCCAAGGCAATAATAATAATTAATCTTTTTATTATTATTATTATTGTTAAGTCATCAATTGTATGTCGCGAGCACCATAAGAAAATGAATCATGAAATAAAGTTTGATCTGGTTCCATACTGGATATCGACTTAAGTATATAATCAGCAGGTCAGTCACAATTCAAAACGCTCTCTGTTAATATTTCTGACTGTAACATGGGTGACATTAGTTCTGTCTGAGCTGCAGCTATGTAAATATGCACAAAACCTACGTCCGAGTAGTATCCGTTTAATTGACTTCAATATGCAGTATGAAAGTTCAGTTTAAAACACTATCATACATATGTGTATAATACATTTTTTACAAACTTTAACTGATGTGGATGCAGTCTGTCATCCATTTGTCTGTCTACATCTACTAGAATTGATGGGCTCATTGGAATTCAGTAATTCTGATGTTTGCAAATGATACTTTGATTATGTATATCGTTAAATGTGCAATCTTCTTTCAACTTTTACCAATTTTGTAAACTGTAAATTAGAGCGAAGAAGATTACTACTCACTTGATATACTTCCATCCTTTTATAATAGTCTCTGCTGTACAGTTTGTCAATGTTAAACTGTTAGCATCTTCTAAGGACTTAACAAATTTAAGTGATTTTTTTAAATAACATAGTTTGAAACATTTTTAAAAGGATAAGTATTTTAACTTCATGTTGATAAATTTTATTGGAACGGAATGCTGCTTGTTTGTATGCGTGTTGCGGCTGACATTACATACGCAGGCTTCGATGATGTTTCAATACTGATATGTTTTTATATCCATAAATGAAAACTGATACCTGTTGACTTCCTGAGAATTCTACTGTCGAACCATTGACACACTGTTAAATACTCTGTATTTATCAGAAGATTATTTAGAATGAGTATATTAATCATTTTACCATAAACTAACCGCCTTTGTCTTGTTTCCTGCTTATTTCACCTACAGATTTCTCAGTGCTGAATTAATTGGTTTATCAAATTTAAGTGCAACTTTATCGTCATTATCGAAATCGACAGGCACAAATTATGAATTGATATGTCAACAGTTTGTTTCTTTCATCAATGATATATTCACTTGTTTTGATCATTTGGCTCAATCGGAGTCATGTTATCGTGTACGATTGAATGCTGATGAATATTTATGTATTGCTGGTTATCCAGAGACACGTGTGGATCATGCAAGATCATGTATTGATTTAGGATTGAATATGCTGAAGATTATCAGGTAAGCTGAAGCATTATCTCTTTTGATGATGATATCTATTAAATATTTCTGACTATTTGTCACTGCTGGTATGGTCATTTGAAATAGTCTATTTATGCAAAATACTTCTATTCTGGTTTTTGTGCCACTCTTTCCTTCTGTATAGCTGGGAGACATCACTGTTGCAAGGTGAAGATATAATAAGGTTAGCTGTCTTTCACCAAAGGTGTTTGCGTTCTGTCTCTCATTTCAAGGGGAATAATGTGTTGAGTAATACTGAGATTAGGCATCGAGTGTTATGTAAGGAAGGGAAGTTAGTTAATAAAGTTGTTAAGCTGCATTGATTGAGGTGGCTAGGACACGTATCCCAAGCCGTTTCCTTCCTCGTCAAGCAGTATTATCTGACAGGATTCGAGTGGTAAAGAGATATCGGTGATCAAATGCAAACGTGTTATCGGTTCATGGAGTCTCTGACTGTTTGTTTGAGCCTCACATTGAAGGTACAGATTGCTTGGTTGGGGTCCTTATGATGCTGAGAACCAACAGCTTGAAAGTGTTGGTGACATGGCTCAAAATAGTACTCAATAGATCATATGCATCAACCCTTTGTGGTCTCCTAGATCTATTAAATTCTCATTATTTCCTAAGTGATCATTTTTTCTCCCATACATTACCATTCATTATAGTTCATTTGAGTTTTTTAATCTACGTTTGTGTGCCATTTGGAAAGTGGTGACTTGAACTGTGCTAAGTTCTACTCTGAAAACTCAGTCGGTCAGGTCCTTATGTGTGTACTATGTTTTATCAAATGAGTTAATGAATATCATTAGGACTGGAATAATTATGAAGCTTCATGATTAACTTGTTCTTCTTGACTACTTCTGGTTTTAATAACGGGTATTTTCTTTTAAAGCTCAATCAAACTACGCTGAAGATGTTGTCTAGAAGGACAATGAAAGCTTCGCGATTACATCAATCAGCTCAGAGAACACAGAAAAATCAGAAAGTTCTGTCAGAACTATTTCACAGAATGTCTAAAGTTTTTTAGTTTATTAATTAGCTAAATATCCTTGCTAGCGTGAAACATGATGGTGGTTGCTGAATGTCGAAATCGCCTTTTGTTTTAGTGTTTAGATTTTATCAAATATCTTTTAATTGGCGAAATGGTTAGTACCGATTCGCTAGCTTTGGTATGCTTAAATCCACACATTTATGTGGCAATTACTATGTTTTATATTGTGTATCACTATCATTGCTATTACTAACTTCTAAAAACATTTTTGTGCTTGTGTGTTTGGTTCGTTTCAAGTGGATGAGGAAAGGGGTAATCGTAATGTTTATACAAAAAATTGAATGACTTTAACATACAGTCATAAACAACTGTCCGACCTACATCATCTAAACAATGTTTGTGTAAAGGTCAGAAGCTAGCTCATGCATACTCATATGCACGTACGCACATACATACTTACGCACAAAGTAACTTGATTGATAATTCATTTAATACACTGATTGTTTTCAGTTATTTTCATTATTCAATAAACACTGAACATTCATGCATACAAGGCTAATATTGTGAACATAACTACTGACATTAAAATACTAATGGTAGACATGAACACCAAACTGGGGCCAGACAACACAGGAAGAGAACTCATCATGGGTAGAGAAGCTCTCGGAGAAATGAATGAAAATGGAGAACTCTTCGCCGACTTCTGCGCCTTCAATGAACTAGTGGCTGGCGGCAGCGTATACAAGGATATTCACAAGGCTACATGGGTGTCAGCAGACGGGAGAACCAAAAACCAAATTGACTTCATCTCAATCTCAAGGAAGTGGAAACGCAGCTTACTGGACACAAAAGTAAGAAGAGGAGCAGACGTTGGCTCAGACCCCTATCCCGTACAAGGAACACTCCAAATCAAATTAAAAACTTTCGAAGAAACAGGAGCTGCAGATAGACCACAAGCCAAGTTCAATACTCAAAGACTGAAGGATCAGGATACAAAGGATATCTTCACTGCAAGCATAAGGGAAAAGGCGGAGACACAAGTCAACACTAGCAAAGAGACCAGCGTTGAAGAGCACTGGAACAGCCTGAAATCAGTGTGGAGTCAAACCTGCAAGGAAGTTCTAAGCAGAAAGAGAAAACAGGACAAACAATGGTTCACTACGGGCACATGGAGTCTAATATAAGAGAGGAGGATGGTGAAAGAAAAGATTGTCCAGTGCATCGACGAGAAACAAAAACAGGAGTCGATTGCAAGCTACAATACACTGAACAAAAGAGTAGAGAAGAGTGCCAGGAAAGACAAAAGAAAATGTTATGAAGCCATGGCAAGTGAAGCAGAACAAGCTGCAGGCAAAGGAGACCTCGCAACACTCTACTAAACAACTAGGTTCATATCGGGGAAAAGTTCAACACAAATTAAATTAAAGCAGCAGGACCAGACGTAATAACAGCAAAGGCACTGAAAATAGACCCAGAGACATCAGCTGACTAGATGACACCACTACCGAAGAAGGTGTGGAAAGAGGGCAAGGTAAGGTACCTGCGGATTGGAAGAAAGGCTACTTATTCAAACTGCCAATGAAAGGGGACTTAGGTCATTGTAAGAACTGGCGCGTTATTATGCTCCTGTCCATCCCAAGCAAAATACTAAGCCGCGTCATCCTGGAGAGAATCAAACACACACTGGATGAAAAACTTAGACTGGACAAGCTGGATTCAGGAGGAACAAATCATGCATCGATCAAATCGCAACACCACGGATCATCATTGAACAAAGCTTGGAATGGCAGTCAGCTCTCTATCTCAACTTCACTGACTTTGAAAATGCCTTTGACAGCGTCGACCGAGAGGTGATTTGGAAACTACTTCCCTACTACGGGGTGCCGCCGACAATGCTGCGTGCCAAGGAATTCAAAACGGGAAACTCACGGAATCCTTTGAAGTGAAGGCGGGAGTAAGACAAGCTGGCTGCCTACTATCGCCAATGATTTTCCTGATTGCGGTAGACTGTATAATGCGACAGACAGCGGGCAACGAGGAAACCGGCATAAAATGGACACACACAAAATACTTGGAGGATCTGGACTTCGCCGATGGTATATATCTGATTTTCCACAAACTGGAAGATATGCAAGTGAAACGCAACAAGTCGGTAAAGGAAGCATCCAGAGGAGATAGGATTTCAGGTGAACATAGAGAAAACAGAGGTGATGAAGATTCCTGGCCAACAGGAACAGCAACAATAACAGACAACAATCAGCGTAAATGGGAGAAATCTGAAATAAGCAACCTCCTTCACCTACCTGCCTGGGAAGCATCGTTTCAACTACAGGCGGAACTGATGAGGATATCGAAGCGAGGATCAGGAAAGCAAGGCAAGTTTTCATTTCTCTCGAGTCTGTGTGGAGGTCAACAGCACTCAGCATGAAAAATAAGATCCGGATTTTCAACTCCAATGTGAAGTCAGCGTTACTTGCCATATGGATCAGAGACTTGTCTCCGAGTCATGAAGGGCACTACGAACAAACTACAGACCTTCATCAGTAGCTGTCTTCGCTCAATACTGAAGATCAGATGGCCGGCCAGAAAAGATCAGCAACAGGGAGGGATCTCTGGGAGCGAACCAACCCAGCAGGAACCGATTGTGCAACAAATATGCAGGAAGAAATGGAGGTAGGTGGATTGGCCATAGATATAAGAATAAAACTTGTGCACTGTGGTAGAGTATATGATTATGAGTAATAAATTGTGCTCAAAACGTCATCAGTAAACATTACTGTATAACACTGTGAGACTTTATCAAAACAAATTTTACCCATAATGGATTGACCATACTCTGAGATAACCATCAAGTTACATCATACGCCAGGCCATTGATCAAGTGGAACCCGAATGGGAAGCGGTGAGTTCGTCGTCAGTGCTAGGGTGACTTGGAAGAGGTCATATGAAGAGGAGATGAAAGCATGTGGGAGACGTGGAGCCAGGTTAAAACGTTGGCAGAGAACCGAATGCAATGGAGAAGTGCGGCTGAAGCCCTATGTTCCTCTAGGAACTAAAGGAAATAACAATAATAACAACTACTGGTAGGACCCAGCACAAAGTAATACATAATCCTGTCTCACGAATCGTGTGATTTAGCGTGTGGTCGAGTTACTATGTGGGTATCTCATTTCTCGCGCATATTGTGACCTAGTGTGTGATCAATTCATCGTCTTTTGTCTCACCTTGGTCTTTGTCGGATCACTAACCAGTCAGAATAGACATTTCCAGCCAATAGGAACTGTCCATGCTCACGGTTGTGAGCCAACTGTATTGTGATAAATTAAATATGCAAACATAATGTTTTGTTCCCTAACAGATGCATAATACAATATCTCACAGTCACAGACCAGCCTTTGTATTTTGATATTTGCGTGGCTCAGCAAATCGCATGGTAAAATGAAACAATAGACGTATTAGCGTACCAGTCGAGTTCATTAGCTTTATAGTAATTAACAGGCGCAGACATAACAAAGTAGCAACGGATTTATTCAGTTTAGTTTCAGTTATAACAACTACCATGTTCTTTCCTCGCACATACACATTACTTTCTTCGGTTCCGAGGGGAAAATTTGGCTTCAACCGGACATCGCCATTTCGTCCTGTTTTCTGAGTTCCTTTTTAGCTGATTCCAGGATTATCCACAAGCCCTCACCTCCTCCATGTGACCTTCAGACGTACGTCCAACTTGTCTTTCTCCATCTGGGTTCCACTGGAGCGTCGGTCTGGTGTGCTATGTCACTCAGTGGCCTCCTCAGTGTATGTCCTATCCATCTCCATGAAGCAAAACGTTGTGTGAGTGACTTTATATGATTGTCAGCAATAATTTGTGCTCGAAACGTCATCAGTTAATATTACTGCACAACACTTTGTGATTTATCAAAATAAAATCTTATGTATAATGAAGTTATACTCTACCACAGTGGCCAAGTTTTATACTTATACCATCTCCATTTTTTTCGACACACTTGTTTGGCTACAGTTTCTTGTTTGGTTCTTTGCCTGTTAGAGTTCCATGTTACTCATCTTCTCTCGTCGGTCACCTGATCTTCAGCATAGAGCGAAGACAGCTGTTGAGAGAAGTCTTAAGGCTATTTGAAATGCTTTTGTTGATCTGCGTGCCAAGTTTCTGAACGATATAGAAGCATCGATTGATTTGATATTAACCGTTTAAACTCTGAATCGTGTTCTTTGTACCTTTCGCGGTAGATTTCCATACCGACTTCAGAATAATGAAGGTCTGTTTTGCTTTTCCGATCCTGGTTGTGTAATATCGCTAGTTGCAACTGCTGTTTACTTGTATTGTTCCTGGATGACTTGAATAACATAGGTGTAGTTTGAATTGATGTAAACAATTTGTTGCTTTAGAGGTGTGTTTTTGGTGCTATATTTAGATGGTTTAATTGTAAAGCTTTCATTGTTTTATCCCAGTTGAATTTTTTTATGTCAGCCTCATTTGGAACGTTATGAACACAAGAAAAGAAGCAAGTACATCTCTTCACGTTGCCGGACAAAGCCTTCATTCGTTGTTAAAGAGGGAGATTTAGTAGACAGGAATTCCTTTTATTCTTCTCGGACGTCAATAAATCCATATTTCCTCTGAGGTTGGAACCTGCTCTATTCAAAGAATTTATAATCAACCTCTTCAGATCACAAGTGATATCCAGTAGAAGTGAATATTGTAGGCGAATTATTTGTCGAGTGATAAACGATTGGGATATCTTGTTCTAAGTGTGTCATTCGAAGTCTAGTGATCTGAAGGCCATGTCATCTCTAAGCTAAGGTTACCTCATGCTACTGCTCATTGTGGTATATTTTCATTAAATATTCGGTTGGGTCAACCGATAGACTACAGATTTCTACAAACACGACATGTTAGACTTAGAGCTTGATGACGTTTATCAGTTTTTCACAGTGAGCTGCAGCGTCATAATACTTCGCTTAGTACGCACATCACATACTTGGTAATTATGCACTGAGATCAACCTATTTCGGCCCAGATAGGTTACGGAGACTTCACAACAACTGCACTCACATACGTGCTTCAATTTCGCATCTTCCTTGTAAACTGCACTTTTAATATCTAATATTTCAAATATTTATTTTTCTTTAGAGAGATCAATGAAATTTCTCATGTTCGATTGGAATTACGTGTTAGTGTGCATACTGGTACTGCCTATGCTATTGTGCTTGGTCGTAGTCGGTTAGGCTTCGATTTAATCGGTGATGATGTCAGTTATGTAAGCCGGCTGAAATACTCTACCTATCGTCCAGGGTAAGTTTATTATGTATATTGTTAGCGGTATATAAGAATGTATTGCAAAAATGTGTATATTTAAACATGGACAAGTTCTACTGAGTTACTGACAGTATGAAATGTCCGAATTGAAACAATATAATAAAAATATCGGAAGAGAGAGAAAGGAATATTGTAGGATAAGTAAACCCATAAACCCCATGAATGACCTGCTGTAGCGTTGGGCGAGTAGGCTTCGTTCTACCCCTCGAAATGCTCTCATGTAGTCATGTGTTCTCAGCCTCTGCGGGTTAAGTCTTATTCACTCAGTTTACGCGGCCGAAGTGTTCCTCACAAAAGTGGATGGGCGAATTCGAACGTCTGGCACAGCCGGACTGGTGGACACGGTGGTCCACCTAGGGGAGCTAGAAAACCATAAATGCATACCTATGCTCTACATAGGCTTCAGACTGTGAAATGATCAAATGGCGTATAAGTTTGTTTTGGTCACTGTGAGCCTTGGGAATACAGCTTCTGATGCTTCTTCACTGCCTAGGGAATCAGACAGCAAGTCAAAGGCTCGGAGGGAGGAGTGATCTCCTGAAACAATTACCTGCTTTGTTCTGTGCATCTAGACAGCATTTCAGTCCTCGCATCTGTTGTTGTCCCTTATGTACTAAGGTTTTATCTCATTTATTATTGAATTAATCAGTCAGCCTCAAAGATGGGTACCCGTGTAGCGTATGGAAGCCTGTAGAACGGCATTTCTAACTGGGAAAACTTCATTTCCAAAAGGACCATGTAAGAGTGGCTTCAGGCAGTTTCCTCCTAAGTTCTGCTATCGTGCAACACTAATCCCTTCTCTTACAGATACAAGAAGAAATCATCTTTCACGTTATAGGTGTCAGGAAAGTAGAAACTGGTAGAACACTTCCTTTGGCATACGAAGTTCTTCTGCGCTTTATCCACCATCTTCATAACCATACTTTACTACCACTGTTGGTATTATTCCTTAGGCTGGTTCTTTATATTAACTCTCCTGTCATTGCTAGCAATCGTTCTTAGTCTTATAATACCACCCTACTTACCTCATTTTACAGGTTTCAGTGCCCGAACCTTAAAATAAATCAGATAACAGTCATCACTAGTGAAAACCCCTGCATATGTGTTTTATGATGTATGCTATGTCTGCTTGAAAAACATTTTTTCACTTTTCCCGGTGGCTTGCTTCAATCTCTGGGCTTCCTACATTTTCATAATCCATTGCATATTGTTTTAATCATCCAATTATGTGTTTGAATCGCTACCTAAACTCGCGCATATTTTAAACTAGCTTCCAAAGTAACATTGCACACTTCTTGAAGAAATAAAAGAGAGAATGTCGTAGAGGATTAGGTGTTGCTTCAGATAGGGCAACACAACATCACGTGGTATATTGTCGAGTACTATTTTACTTTATCGTTCTGTATGAAGAGTAAATGTTTTGCAATTTAAATGCGCTGAGAATTCTGTGTTGTGTTATCATATTGTCTAGAATGAAAATTAAACACGCTGAATCTATAAAATTTGCATTATGGGCTTCAAAATATTCTGTAGGTACTTCGAGTGGACTTGCTGATATACTGATAATATTGAACTTGAGAACAAAGAGCTCGCTATTCCTTCGAATTCAGATGAAATATAATTCCCCTTAGGTGAAAACAAAATACAGAATCCTTTGAACATCTTGAGTATTCAGTCATCTGAATAGCTTGATTGACCATGGGACTATTTGGTTGTCCTCACTTGGAGATAGCTAATTGTAGCGGTAAATAACTCCCTAGAATCAATAACTGACAGCTGCATAAGCATTCGTTAATTGGGTGTTAACCAATAACTGCCTTGATGATCTTGTTAAACTGAAGGTACTTAGTCAATCACCTCCGCCATTATTTGTCACTCTGCCGTGTAGTGTTTAGCTTTTCACCCCCGTCTCGTCCCGATTTGCTGATATATCGAACTCGAGGAGTACATTTTTTTTGAAGAATCAGGCTTTTTTTCTTGATAAGTGAATTGTTCCAATCAGAAGTAATGGTAAATCTCCGATTACACTTATTGACAATGATAAGTTCTCAGTACAAGTAAAATTAAGGCGTCTGTAGCTAGAAACCTGATACACCAAGACAGAGTGAACAATCCATCCTTTTAATCAATATGGTGAGGTTATATACTTCCAGCAGTACAGTAAATTAGACAAATTTTGTTATTTAAAACAGTTAGTCCCTTTTATAAATTTTGATAGCATTATTAGAAGACGGAGATTATCTGAAAAATGTGATGTATTAGCGCTATACATTTCGAACAATCTGATCACACATTTACTTGTCAAGTCAATATATATGGAAAGGTTAAATTAAACAAGGTGACAAAAAAAGAATTAAGAATAATTAACACAAACGTTTGGTAATCCAATCAAATAAGGATTACCAAGGTAGGTTAAGAGTAATAACAAACTGTTTATGAATACACAAGGGGGGCTTAAGTTTATGAATGGCTATAGCCTCAGCGTATTTCAGTAAACGTCCTTGACCGTTTTTATAGATGACCTTAAAGGCTGAGTTAACATCAACCTTATGGTTCATATCGATTAAATGTTTAGCTATAGACGAAGTTGGTAGTCTGGCACCTGCATCTATGGGCTTGTCACAATTCATCTGTTTTCCTAACCACTTTGGGATATGCTCTCCCACCCTCACGTGCAACGCGCGATTACTCCTCCCTATGTATGTATGTCCACACACACACACACGAAAATTGGTAAATTGTATGGGATGTGATATAATCACTTGTGCACTTTTGAGGTTTCCAGTGAAGCATACTTTTAGCCTTTTCGACAATTACAAGCTGGGCTGCATAGTAGGTTCTACGGATGATGGAATTCAACCTTTGTCTCAAGATCCTACTATTTATTTCCCCATTATATGGTAATTTGATGAAAACCTTTTTCTTAGGGACAGTATGGATTGTAGGTTTAGAGGCTAGTTGACTTCTACACCTGTTTAAAAACTTCAAAGGATATCCGTTTTCAACAAGTGTATCCATCAATATTTCGTTTTCCTTGTCTATAACATCAGCCGTGCAAATACGCTGAATCCTCTTAAATAGACACTTCACCAAGCCTCTCTTATATTGTAATGGACAGAAGCTGTGAAAATTAAGATATTGCCCTGTCCAAGTGGGCTTTCTGTAGATAGACCGTCTTATTGAGCCATCGTCTCTTCGACTCAGAAGTATGTCTAAAAATGCGAGCTGGTTGCGACTTTCTTCCTCGCATGTAAGACTAATATGATTCTGTACAGAGTTGAGTCTGTCCAATAGACGACTCGCATCTTCATGATCATCGCATATCAAAATGATATCGTCTACATATCTCTTATAGAAAGGCAATTTAGAAATTAAATCAGAAGATAAGTTTTCAACATAAGACAAGTAAACGTCCGCTAATAAAGGTCCTAATGGACTCCCCACAGCAACACCATCCACTTGTCTAAAATGTTCACCTTCAAACGTGAGATGGACGTTGTCAGTACATAATAGTAATAAATCTTTCAAATAAGTTAAAGGAAAAGGAAATGAAAAACAACCAGAAGATATATAGTCACAAAGAATATCAACAGTCTTAACCAATGGTACATTAGTAAACAAAGAATTAACATCAAATGAATACATTTTCCTATCTTTTATGTTCATATCTACAAGACAGTCAACAAGTTCAAATGTATCTTTTAAAGTACACTTACATAATTCATTGCGCACTGGACTTAAAATATCAGCTAGCCATTTTGCTAATTTATGTGTAGGAGAGTTACACATTGAAAGAATTGGACGTAATGGATTATCAACCTTATGAATTTTGGGTAATCCATAGAGGTTTGGAAAGTCAGATCCCATGGGTTTCAAGGAATTAAACTCCTGTTTATCGATAACGTCCAAGCCACGAAGTTTTACTAAATGAGAAGTTACTTTTCCTTCTAATTTTCTGATGTCATCCGAAGGAACATCGGCTATGAACTTGCTTTTGTCATTATAAAAGGGACTAACTGTTTTAGACTTCTAATAGACTAATGATACCCTCCTACACAAATTATACAAACAGTCAACAACTTCATAGAGTGATTCTCGTGTGTTGCAGTTAGGTTATCCCTTCATTTACCTCAGAGATCATACTGTGGTGGTGTGATACAGACAATGGGTTCCAACGTGATATTATTCTCACTGTAAGAATCATTGTACATGATGCTGTTAACGTCTGAATACTATTCTCACAGTTCAGTAGTGCAACAGAATATATATATATATATATAAACATTCTGTTTCATGTCGTTTATTGTAAACCAAAATCACACGCTAAGTGATTGGTTAAAGAATATAAACTGTATAGATATAAATAGCTGTTTGATCACTTGAAAATATACTTTGGCTTCCGTGTCTTGCCTTCTGCTGTTACAATACTAACCTAGCAAACATAACGTGTTGAGGAAGATAGCGATTAGGAATGTTTTATACATGATGGAAGTTTAAAACTGCACCTGTATTACTTAAGCCTCAGAGTACAAACAACGCTGCAACTACTAGCATTTTTAGATGCCTTACCTTAGCAGACATAAAACATGAAAAAGTAAATTGTTGCACTAATTCTTAGTGTGACTAGATACCTCACATACCAAATTCAAGCGACATATGAATGAACTTAGCCATTAAATATAACGTATGGGGAGCAGCATTACAACAGAAACTGTAGGTGGTGAATTAAATCTTGTATGAATTTCAATATCAGTATAGCTGAATCATTTTCTGTATTGATTGAGTTAGACGAGAAATATTCAGTTTAGTTCGTTTTTCCGTCGGTTTTAGAAAGACCTTAGAAAACGTTGAGCACGAAGTAATTTGGAAGCTGCTTCGACACTATGGAGTGCAGTCCTCCAAACATTTCTAAAAGTCATTCAACAGCTACATGACGACGTCACATGTCAAGTGGTGCAAAACGGAAATCTCAGTGAAGTCACTGAAGTGAAGACAGGAGCAAGACAAGGCTGCCTACTATCATCGATGATATTTCTAAATGTGGTGGACTGAATCATGAGGGAAGACAGTAGTACGCTGAGTCGATAAGAAGGCTACATAAGCTATGGACTTTGCGAATGATTTATGTCTAGTGTCAAACGAACTCGAAGATCTACAGGCGGAAACCAACAAGTTAGCTAAAGGAACACAGATGACCTTGCTTAACCAACAGCAACTAATCAACGTCCCATATTCAACGAAGTTATTTATAGACAACAAGATGGGATCGCAATAGGGTCTCCACTGGGCCCATGACTAGCAGTTTGCTTCAAAGCAAGCCTCGAGAACGGCCCACTCAAATCAACTATTGACAACTTCCAACTGTATGTTAGATAAGTGGACGACATTATTATTATCTGTGATGACGGCCACGATCTCAGTCAGTTACTGCAAATATTCAACAAATGCCATCCAGCCACAAAGTTCACTCTTGAAATTGAAAACGAATCTAAAATCCCTTTTCTTGATGTTGAACCATAAGGTTGATGTTAACTCAGCCTTTAAGGTCATCTATAAAAACGGTCAAGGACGTTTACTGAAATACGCTGAGGCTATAGCCATTCATAAACTTAAGCCCCCTTGTGTATTCATAAACAGTTTGTTATTACTCTTAACCTACCTTGGTAATCCTTATTTGATTGGATTACCAAACGTTTGTGTTAATTATTCTTAATTCTTTTTTTGTCACCTTGTTTAATTTAACCTTTCCATATATATTGACTTGACAAGTAAATGTGTGATCAGATTGTTCGAAATGTATAGCGCTAATACATCACATTTTTCAGATAATCTCCGTCTTCTAATAATGCTATCAAAATTTTTTTATCGCTCATATAGGTATATTTGTTTAATGACTGATGATTGAGGGGAATGTATACTCCCAGTTCTATTGACAGTCTTTACCGAGTTCTCTCACAAATCAATAGCTTTATAAAGTATGTTTGAATGTAGGTTAAATCAAGTTGTTTCAATCTCCTTCGCTTGATTGATGTAATCATTATCATTGTGAATGCATACATTGGATATCTGACATGATTATTTATTGATTTTTTATTCGGAAACTTTTCTCTCCTTCTGTCTTCATTTGACTAAAAAGTATAACAGTCGTAGATTTATTTTTCTTAAGAATTAGGATATTATACACATGCCAACATTTTATGGCAGGCAAATGATTAATGTGAAGGTATATAACTTTAAGCTTTTCTAGAAATAAATGTAATTTTGGACTTTAATTCTATATCTTACAGCATTTTAAAGTCGGCGCAAGTAAGTGAAAGAGGTGACTCCCCACTGTTGCTTATTGATGTTTGTTATTGCTGGTTGGGTATAATCATCACCTGTGTCTTCTTTATATAAAACTACTGTAGGTGACTCTCATGCACACCTTTCTGGGTGTTTTTTCCGCTTGTATTTCTTCGAGTTCATGCAACATGAGATTTTCTGGATCACTCACGAAATCCAAATCTTATAGGATCTTTCTGTCGGCCCACCATACGTCCATCCTTTTACTCTCCACGGTCTTTTGTAGGGATATAACTTGATATAACGCCTCATATTCTTTCGCTTTTGTCAAACTTCCATTTCGTTTGAACTGGTTATGCCAGTGAAAACCTAGGCTACGCTAGCATGGGAATCAATCACTGACGAGTTACTGATATCAGCATTTCAAAATAATTTATTGATGTGGTAAAAATAAGCAAGCCCAACGGTTACATCTGTTTAACCTCATTTGATGCATTTTATACAGCCGGTTATTTTGAGTTTACATGTTGGAAATTATGTAGTCTAAAATATTGGCAACTTTGTCTGCCTATAGAGTTGCTGATGAAATCTGTGCACAGTTGTGAAATAGCCTTTCGATATTTTCCAGTGTTGGTTTGAAGGGGTTTGATTGGTTAGTTACATGTTTGATCATGAGCTAATATCACTTAGAGAAAAATAAGAAAAGCAGGGAATATTGCACATATGTTTCACCCCAGATTGAGACTCTTTAATAGTACTCATCCACTTGCGTCCAAACCCAGGATTTTCCAGTTACAAGTCGAGCTCGTTGACCATTCAACCATTGGGACCCGACTCAATGGCTAATCAATTCCAATCTCTGCCGATTCACGACATATATGGCGTAACCACCTACCAATGTGTCACAGGCGAGTAACTATTCTCTTATCTGACTTGATGAATTCCTCCAGTCACGACTTCTCACTAGACATTTACCAATTGGAGTCAGTTTTAGCTTCGTTGATATATCTAGATATTCGTAAAACGAGTGTTGAGTGTTACAGAAAGCGTTTGAGAACATCTCCCACAGTAAGTGTTCCTAGTTAGAGAGAACAATTTGTATTTGGAAAATGACTTACTTAAGATCACTCTTTTCTCCTTCGTCTTCTGTTACAAGTATTGACATATTTCATTTTTTTAATTTTGTATATTTCAGTCGAGTGCTTACCTCACGATCTACTTTCAGTCAGTTGCCAGAAGGTTTTCGTGGTGAAGCTGGCCCAGTGTTAGGTTATCCAAATCCAGTCATTATACAGTCAAATGAATCTGTTAAGTCTAATAATTCTGCAACTCACCACCAACAGCAAACAACTATGGAAACATACTTTGTGCAACCTCGAAATGTAAGTCAGTATATATATATTCTTATGTAACTGAAGTGAAATACATGTTAAGGTACTTAGTAAAGTGGTTCAAATGTGTGTAATGATGGCTAGCGATACTATTTGGTTGCCCCGATTTGTGTCACGTGGGAGGTGGAACAAATCTAGGTTTCAAACCTGTCTGGCTACAGTAGGTTGGTTGAAAGCCACCGGTACCATTTTATCATTTGATTTGAATGAAAGAAGAGCAATTTCTTGGTTATAAAATGCATGACTTTTAATTAATTAATTAATTATTTACTTAGAGCATATTTAGTCTTCAACTGCTTAATAATGCTTATCAATAGCATTATTTAAGTAAGAGAAGTTATTCACATACCTCTACGAAATGTGTGATAAAATATTCGTTTAATAAAGATGACCGATAAATAATACTGACACACTGAAAAGAGTAAAATAGAAAGGACATATGACAGAGAAAAGGATTCTCTTTTCTAAGTGTTGGTGTACAGATATTTGATTGGCTACAGGTTTGATCATGAGCTAACATCATTTAGAGAACCACTGAAAAACCAGAGTACAATTGACAACTGTTTCCTCCCAGTTTCGAATTCTTTAGCAGTCTGTCTGTTTGTCTGTCTGGATTCAACATAGAACTTGGCACCGAAGTGCAGCAGTTCGAGTTGCCACGTTCCAAATAGCACACAAAGGTAGACAAGAAAATTAGTGAAGAGAATCAATAGAGTTTTGACAAGTATAAGAGTGAAACAGAATGAGTAATGGTAGAAAGGAGTATGAAGGTTAAAGAGACTGAATACATCTGCGCTAGCCATTGACAACGATTTTAAGCCATGTCACCTATTGTCTCCAGCCATTGATTCTTAGAGTCTCGAGGGCCCCAACCCGGAAGTCTGCATCTCCCTACCTGACCCAGTTTAACTGTCAAGGATTTCATGGATTGATGCCATGTTTTTGTTTGGCCACCACTTACCCTTTTCCAACCTGCACCTATATCAGCTAGTAATGCCCGTCGGGGGAGACGATGATTAGGCATGCGCAGCACGTGGCCTAACCATCTCAATCTATGTAACTTCATAGCCTCTTCGAGTGATTTTCCCTCTTTACCCAACACTCTACGCCTAACGTCAACATTACTTACCTTATTATACCACCTAACGTGAGAAAGAGATCGTAAACATCTGTGGTCAAAAACAGACAATCTCTTCATGTTTTCCGCTCTCAATGGCCACGTCTCACCGCCATAGAGAAGGACGGAGCGAACTGCTGAGCAGTACACACGTCCCTTGGTTGACAGCCGGATGTCACGCCTACGCCAGAGACGGTGTGTAGTGTTTATGAGTTAATCAAACATTCACCGATCAAGTGAGAATATTGAGGGCCCGCAATAAAGGCTTTATTCGTTTTATAATTCCAGTATAGAATCTGGTTTAAACAAAAATGAAAGATGTGAATAGTGTATAATATAAATGCTAAACGTTTATGAAAATGTTCACACCACATTCTTCTCCCCTTTTGTTTGAGAATACAGAGCATAAGGAGTCAAGACTTTTAAAATTGTTTAGACTTCGCGGCTTCTCAGATTGTATGGACGAACCCTTCGTTGTTTCTCTAGTAAAGAAGATGGGTTCGGATCAATTTTGATATTTTCACTTAAATTGTCCGTCAAAATAGGAGTTTCAGTATCTGTAGAACGGGTGGATATGTCGTCTTCAGTAAGTTGACTTTGGAGGCATTCTGGTACTGCGTCTGGAATCGGCATGCTAACGGGCGATTGAAATATATGTTCTTTTGGTGCAAGATGATGAATAGATACTGTTTCCTCACGTCCATCTGGAAGTCTCACATGAGCATACTTGGGATTACATTCAATCAGTTCAACTTCATCAACTGGAGATTCATATTTAGAACGTACATTACGGCGCATCAAGACCGGTCCAGGAATAGTTAACCAACTGGGAAGAGAAACACCAGACGTTGATTTTCGATTGTACCTGACCATCCGTTCGTGTGGAGTAGTATTTGTGGCAGTACATAAAAGAGAACGGATAGAATGAAGAGCGTCGGGGAGAACAACCTCCCACTCACAGATTGGTATGGACCTAGATTTAGCATCTAGTGATATACATCGCCAGAGAGTGCCGTTGAGACGTTCAATCTGTCCATTTGATTGGGGGTTGTATGCTGTTGTTCTACTGGTAACTATTCCTTTATCGTGGAGAAAATGTTTTAATTCTGCAGACATAAACGACGATCCTCTGTCTGAATGCATGTAGGATGGCATACCAAACAGGGAAAACAACTGGCACAGGCAATTAATAATAGTTGATGCTGTCATATCCTGGCAAGGAAAAGCGAACGGAAATCTAGAGTACTCATCAATTATCGTAAGAAGATATTTGTTCCGGGAGTTTGAAGGAAGAGGTCCTTTGAAATCAATATTTAGACGTTCAAAAGGAGAAGTCGCTTTAATAAGATTTCCTGTGGATACTTTGCAAAACCTGGGTTTCAGCTCAGCACAAACTGCACAACTAGATATCGTCCTCTTCACATCATCAACAGAAAAAGGTAGGTTCTTAGAACGCACAAAGTGAAGAAGGCGAACAACTCCTGGATGGCACAGAGAGTTATGTAAGTCTTTCAGATTAGTTTCACCCATGACAGAAGCAGAATATCCGCGAGATAATGCATCGGCGACTTTGTTTTCTTTGCCACAACGGTAGATTATATCAAAACTGTAACAAGAAAGTTCTATTCGCCAACGCTGAATCTTGTCATTCTTTATTTTCCCATGGTGGTTCATATCGTACATGAAAGAAACTGATCGTTGGTCTGTAATGAGTTGGAAATGAGTACCAAGTAAATAATGACGCCATTTTCTAATAGCTTCGACGATGGCATAAGCTTCTTTCTCCACCGCTGAGTGATGCCGTTCACTTGGTGATAGTGTTCTGGAAAAAAATGCAACGGGTCTACCATTTTGTGTTAACGTGGCAGCTATAGCAGTATCCGAAGCGTCGGTTTCAACTATAAGGGGCAAGTCGAGATCCACAGTAGTCATCACAGATTGAGCAAGTTCATTTTTTAATGCTGCATATGAGCTTACAATAGTACCTGGTAATGGAAAGATTTTATTTTGTATAAGGGGTTGAATTTTATCGGAGAAATGAGATATCCATTGTGAATAATACGCAAAGAGACCAATGACTCGCTGTTGGGATTTAAGATCTCGCTGAGGTGATAAATTCCATAATGCTTGAAGTCTATCGGGATCATGTTTGATCATTTTATGAGAAACTTCATAGCCTAGAAGTTTTACTTGTTTAACGCCAATAACACTTTTATTCTCATTGAATGTTAGCCCATATTTTCTGGATGCTTCATAGAACCGGGCAAGATTTTTTGCATGTTGTTCTGTGTTTTCACCACAAATAGTTATATTATCTAAATAAGCAAATGTAGCTTGAAGATTTTCATTTCTGATAATCTGACTGATAACTCTCTGAAAACACGAAACACCGTTTGTGACACCAAAGGGAATACGACGGAACTGATAGAGGTTGCCGCAAGCTTCAAAAGCTGTGAAGAGTTTCTCTTCTTCTTTGATGGGTATTTGATGGTAAGCACTCTTTAAATCCAAAGTGCTAAATACAGTATATTTTGAAATCTTTTCAATAATCTCATAAATTTTTGGGAGTGGATAGGCATCCAATAATGTGAAACGATTTATCGTTTGGCTGTAATCAATCACCATTCTACGCTTGTGGCGTTCATTAGTAGTGACCAAAACTTGGGCGCGCCAAGGGGAGTTAGATGGCTCGATGATCTGCTCACTGAGTAAATTTTCGATTTCCAGCTTGATGAAATGTTCATCTGAAGCGGAATGTCTTCGTGATTTTGTAGCGATCGGAACACATTTGGGTGTTAGGTTATGAAACAAGGGAGGTGGATCAATATGTGCAGCAACAAGATTACACAGTGAAAATGGATTGTTTTTACCTTCAAATGGAATTTCGAGTTTATTATGCAAGCGTAAAAAATCATGACCTAATAGCACATCAGCACACAGATTTGGCAACACTGAAAGTTTGATATGTGAGTAACTCGAGTCTTTATAACGTAGATTTACATAACAGTGACCATGAGTATGAGTTGTCAGACTTGTGGAAGCCATTGTGATTGAAGTGCGAGAATGCTCTACCTTTATATGTTGTTTTTGAACGACTGCACAAGAAATATAACTGTCTGAGCTCCCAGTATCTACGAGGGCTTGTAGGGGAATGTCATTTACAAAAAGCTGCACAACCGCATTGGAGAGAGACTGTGGAGCGGCGGCTAGAGTCGTGGAAGACAACAAAGAACTAGTAACTGATGTAGTTTTGGTGTACGATTTTGACCGGTAGACCTTCTGATAATGCCCCTTCTTACCACAGAGTTTGCATACTGCATCCCTTGCAGGACATTTAGAGCGAGGATGTCTAGTAAATCCACAGAAGTAGCATTTCTCATTTATTGAAGCAGTCAATCCTGTTTCACCCACATAAGAGTTTAGTTCATTTGATGTATCACTGTTTGATATTGCAGCAGAATTGGAGAATTCGGAAGGATGAAACGAATGTAATTGTTGATAAGCCATTTCTAGGGATCGAGCTTGTTCATAAGCAGTATCAAGATCAAGTAATTTGTTTTCCAGAAGACGTTGTCGTATATTATTAGATTGCATTCCACTTATGAATACGTCACGTATTGCATCATTCTGATTTTGTTCAGCCGAGACAAGTTTGAATGAACAATCTTTTGCCAGAGATTTCAATTTTTGTAAAAATTGGTCGAGGCTCTGTCCAGTTTCTTGTTTGCATGTGGATAATAGATGTCGAGCAAAAATCTCGTTCTTTGGTTTGACATACAGTTTCTCAAGAGTACTAAGAGCGCCGTCAAATGTTTTACATTCAGCAATGTATTCATATACAGTAGGTGAGATATAGTTGATGAGAACATCAAGT